GGACCAAATTTGAAGCACATGGACCTCGCTCCATATAAAATTTCTTATGAATATAATAAGCCATTCATAAAAAAGTTTAATTTTCAACATTTTATGATGAAAATTGGGTCCTATATAGTAAGCCGGTGCGGCCAGGCTTCAATTCAGCCAATCAAAATTGATGATATGTGCAGTCTCCGTAAACAGCGTTACTCTCCCCCACTCACATAGACCCCAATGAAACGATTGTCAGACTGCCTACCAATGCACGCGTAAAAAAATGCTCCAATTTTTACGGCTAAGACCGAAAACTCTTCAGGTAACTTAAGTACTCCTAAAGAAGATGTAAATTTTACCTGCGCTTTAAAAGCTCGAAAAGAATTAGAAAAACTCGTTAAAGTAATTTTTAATAATTTTCAATTTTATTATTATCCATTGGTTATATTTGATTACTTTCTCTGTTTTCTGTATTATTTGGCTGCAATATTGTTTTTAAATAAATTCATCTGTTTTTGCTTTTTTGATACTTGCATATGAAATTACGTTAATGCATTCAATATGAGAGTTATAGATAGTTATCAATAAATAATTAACCCTATTACGGAAGTTGATATGGATTAAAATCATTTTGACTTCAACCTAATTTTAATTGATTGTCGAAAATTTAAAATAACTTTTTAAATTGCGGTCCCGGAATTTTGTAAATGGATCAACTCTTCATTCGAAATACATATTTCAATCGATCTTTATATATATATCGACAGATTTCGTAAAATTAATTAAAATTTTTAAAATATTTTATTACAAAATTTTCTTGAAATTTAGTTTTTTTTTTTACATTAGTAAGAGTTGGGAAAAAAGAGACTCTTTATCGCTTTAATTGAAAATTTAAAAAAGAATCAATTTTTGCTTTTATTATTAGCATAACATTTTTTTTTCTATGTCCGCTAACATTTATCTTTCGGCGATATTCTTAAAATTCAAACAAAGAAGACTCAGACTTGACTTGCGAAAATTTATTAATTTATTTGTATATCTATATATTTATATACATCTAATACTCTTTTTACACGAAGAAAAAAATTTCTCTTTTACACGAATCCATTGTTTTCACACGATTTTCAATGTGCTATGCTATTTTCTCAATGAATTCTTCCGACAAATTTTTTTTTTTTTTGTTATTGCAATGAATTTTTTTTAATTCTTCGCGTTATATTTTTCACCATTGAATTAGATTGTGTCGATTATCTGCGTATATGGGTGGGATTCTCTAAATTATGCTTAGAATAAAGATGTGTGTGTAATGTGTTTTTCATGCAATTTAATTTGGCTTTTCATAGTATAATTTATTTTATTTAATTTATTTTGTATATGAGATATTTAATGAATTAAAATGTGTAAGCGCGAAAAAGATCCTTAAGTCAGCTCTAATAAAAATTTTTTAATGTATTGTATTGATTGTGCTTTTCAGTTGCTCTTCTAGCTTAATTTGTCCATTTAGCCCATATCTTTTTTTACACGAAATTGTTGGGAAAGCATTTATCGTGTAAAAAGAGAATTAGGTATATATATATTTTCTTTCTTTGATTAACGAAACCCGAAATTGAGTTCATTCTCCTCTTCACAGGCCATGTTTGATGGCACAAAGAACGAAATCACGCATTGTAGGCCAACACAAGCAAGTACAAGTAACTTGTGTGGTATAATCCGTTTGAAATGTGGAAAGAAATAAAGAAAAAGTGTAAATTTTCTTATATCATTCGCCTACGACTAGTAAGCACTAGTTTCCGTAAGCTGGAAGTCATCTGCCTATATTTCTGTAAAGTTGCTCTTAAAAAATTATTTCATATAACAGCAGATATCACTTCATTTCAGGTGATAGAATTTATAGGGTATCAAGTGAAGATTATCAGGTGTAGAAGAAATTTCCTATCGGCCGTTTCTTTTTCTACTATGAACGAAAAGAATGGTAGGAATTGTTTCATTTATATTATATGTTAAATTTATATATGAGTTCAACGCTGAAAGGGCAATCAGGTGGTTGCAATTGTTCGCGGGAAGAATCCGCATTTAAGTCAACTATCATAAGAACCCAAGCTCATACTCAGGCAGACTCAGGCCATGCATTCAAATCTGGTGGATGCGACGAAGAATTTACAAAATTCGAATTCACTTTTATTACAGTTTTCGGTTAGAAGAAGCAATGTCTGGTGAATGAGAAATACAGCTTACGAAATTCTAGTTTTGTGTTCCTAACGCCTCTCTTGGCGGTTTTTCTCATATCACAAAATTAGGGTTTTTGACACACGCATGGCCTAAATGCCTCCGAGTAGCATCACGTAGTGATAGCGCATAGTTGTATGCTCTTTCGACAATGCATCGGATCTAGCTATCGCCATCTGCACCAATTCGACAAGAAATTTGTATTAATGGGGGAAAAATAACTTTTCTCGCTTTTGGGGTCTTTTTGTCTCAAAACCCGATTATAAACAATCGTCTTTAGTGACTTGCAGATGAGAGAGATGTTATAGTTTGACAAATGCTCACAAGCAAAAGAAAAGAAAACGTTCAAGAAGAATTAATTCTACACCTGGTGCGATTTTATTTCATTGGTGTCAAAGATTTAATCTGATTAGATGATGGTCGTGGTTCATAAAATAGATGTTTTTTTCATATATTTATTTTATAATATGTAGGCGTATATATTGAATAAGTTTTAGCGACGTAAAGTAAGAAAAAAAAACCTTTCGCCCACAGTTAGGCATCTGGCTTTTAACATATCTTTTCTTTTTTTTTTTTGTTTTTGATTTCTTTATTCGAATATTAAACAAAATGTTAAGGAAATCTTCCATGCATATTGATATCGTATATATATATATGTTATACGTATATACATAAAATGACTATAGATTTTCGTTGATTATATTAAAAATGGTTGGTTTCAATCTAATCTTAATCCGTCTTATAAAGAGAACGTTATTTGATAACAGTTTAGAGTAAAAAAAACATCTCCAAGTCACATCTTTTTTATTTTACTTTTATTTATTTATTTTTTTTAAGCTGTTTAAAGGGGATTTTTCACATTTATCGAAAATGTTTTCTATTCTTTATTGTTTTTTATTTCATTTATTTTTTTTTTTTTTTTTGGATAAGAAATGGCAGCAAAAAGATTATTTTTTATTATTGTTATCGTAGATAAAGAGTATATATCCATCCATCTTGCAATTAATTTGGAATTTTTCTTAATTTTTGTATTTACATTAACATATATACATAAAAGAGTGATGGACAAAAGGTAGAGATACCCAATATCTTTATACGTATTTAAGTTTTATTAAATGCAGTTTTTTTACATTCAATTACTTTTCAGATTTAAATAATATATTTTTTCATATGCAAAAGTTAAAGTCATATATATATATATACTTTTATTGATACGTGTAGTTTTTCATTCTGTTCAAAATTATAAATTTTATTTATTTATTTATTTATTTTTTTTTAATATAATAACTAGATAAGAAAATTGCAATCATATTTGTTAATTTTCCCTTCTCTTTTATTACTGCAAGAGATGACACGCGGTGGTCGTTAGATAGATATATTGTACATAAAATATTGGATGAGTGCATTATCATTTAAAGCAATTTCTTTTCTATTCTTTTTTACATGTTTTTATTCGTACCAGTTTTCTTCAACTTAAAATTCATGAAAACCATTTACTTTTCTCTATCGTTGTGAGTGGAAACGATGTTTATAATCTTGAAATTAATGTGAAAGGTTTCCCTTCTCTCAGCTAACTAAGTGCACCGGATGTCACGTCGCTCAATAACTCTCCGGTTCAATACATGTGTGGCAACGCTGTTGACAGACCCATGACTTCTTCAATTAGTTTACAAGTCGTAGCTGTTTTAGTGACACTATCTCTTTTCTTGCCTTGGAGAGTATTCGCAATTTCCTCGCCACTTAGGTAGGTGACTGCCTATTTGACTCTGGAATGTAATGATGAATCTATGTTTCGTTCATTGTCACAACTCGCATAACACATACTTTCTATTTCGCCTGAGCAAATCCAACTGCATCTAGAGAAGAGCTTTCTCATAGGCAAATGGTTATCTATAATCGTGGATAGATTGCCTTCTAATATCTTGTCACACCCGAAAGTTATATTGAGTTATATTTTTGTTACTTTTTTAAAATAGGAGAGGGCAACAAAAATCGCGAAATTTTGTTTTTAAATACTCATCGGAGACCCTGTGAAGAGAGAGTGAGACCTTGTTCTGCCTCAATAATCAATTGCGAGCTAGAATATTGATGATAATGCCCGCCACAATGTAATATAATTCATCGAAAATTATAGTAAATGATGAAAAACTCTAAAGCTGTACATTAGCACTCAGTCAGGTAAATATATTTTAATATAAATATACAAATCGATAAGCAAATTGGGCGAAAAATAAGCCGATGAGGCAGACGATGCCCCCAAGAGAGAGTGCGAGTTGCCAGTAGTTAAAGCAAATTTTCTTACCAGCAGCTTCGACTATAGAAACAAATAAGAAAATTATAGAGTCACCAAAAACGTACCGTATTCCACTTTGCTTAGTGTAGTTATTCACATAACGACTTTTCAATATAGGGCGTTACATAGGAAGCGACCGAAAAAGTGGTCGCATCCATTTTTAGTAGAGTTCGTCTTACGTCAAAATACCTTAAACAATTCGACCTGCCGCTTGAATATAAAATTGCATGGACAAACATCAGATGGGCAGACAGACAAGCTTAGATCCTAAATATTTTGAAGAATGCACGCAATAATTGAACATCAGACGCAAAGACGGACGGACAAACAAAAAATTTTAGCTAGATTCATAAAGCGATTTAGAACCGATTGCTATAATAGAATCTAGGTCTATCTCAAGTCCATCTAGCTCCTGTATGCGTCCATACAAGCTAAAGTCAATGTGGGGTTTAATGACTCTAATGAAAGGTTCTTGTAGACAAGTTATATAGGAAATATTTGGAATGACAAGGAATTTTAGCAAACGGAATTATATTTGGATGAAAAAATTTCGCAATTTTAACATGAATTATTTAGAATAAAATTTCCATATTTAATACGAGAAAGTTGGCTATCAGATCATAGCCATGATGAGTAAATAATGATAATGTGCAGCTAGTTTGGGAACCGATATTCCCGATATCAGTTAGTAATCGGAAATGACATATAAATTAAATACATGAGTCTAATCGACTTCGTAAGTTACATGAGCTGCGCTGCTGCATCGGTTTGAAACATTAACGAGGCCAAGTGACGTAAAATATGAATTATTCGAAATTTGATATATTCCGTAATCGGAAACGATCCTCTAAGAATAGATTCCACTGTCCACCGTTCCATTCACGCAAAAATACCACAAATATGTTCCGCTTATTTTGGAATTTTCATGTGAACAACAAGTTCGAATTCGCATTTTTTCTTGAAAAGAAGCGAACGCGTTTTTACATTATACCCCGATTGTAGCGTGCCATTTCCAGTATATTTATGAGGTGAAGACTAATAAGATTTTACGTATTTTAACGCTATTGTCCTTTTTTTTAAATTTCGAAAAATGTGGGCGATATGCAACTAATCCGCGATCTTGTGTTCGTGAAACTCTCTCATCGAAAGTAAGTTTTTTCAGATTTCGTTCTGCTTTGTGTAATAAGGAAAAGAACGTTAATAATGAACTACTTGTGGTGCAAAAAAATTATCCATTGTTCGCAGGCAACACATGTTTTACATTTTAAAAAAATTGCGCTCTATAAACTTGTTCATTATTGTGCAGTCACTCATATTGTCCAGACTTGTACTTTTTCGGCGACAATACACCAGCTGGCCCGCTCATAATAAGATGATACTATGTGTAAGCTGGCTATGTGATGATTTATTAGAGCATCCAATTCACCTTCACGAAATACATGGTAGTAGCGGTGATGGGTCGTGGCACCACCTTGCGATGGGCTGTCGAGGGATGCGGTTGAGCTATTAGAATGCTCCCACGATTTAGTGGATTGATTGTTTTGCAATTCACTTTTTTCATCAGCATTTGCCTTAGCTTCTTTATTCTCATCGTGCACGCTTTCGGAATTGAGATTTAAGGAAGTGCATTCAAAGTCATTTGCTTCGAGTTCGGGTGTACGCCTTTCGGAAATTTCATTTCCGTCTTGTCGCGACTTATCCACGGTTTGTTGTAAGTTTTCCTCGTTCTGAGTTTCGTTTTCGTCTTCTTCCACTATTACGTTATGCTCCATTTGGTCATTTTCTTCTTCATCGTCATCCCTTGTGGAAGAGTCTTCATCTTGCAATAGATAAGCGGTCTCTGGATGCAAGTTGTAGTGATGATTTCTTTTGTAGCTGAATTTTGATATTTTGCAATTCTCATATAATTGCAGCGAGTAGCTACGTTCGTTTTCTTCTTCGTCATCGTCTTCGTCCTCTTCCTGTATTGTGAAACTGCGGGTTTGAGAGGATAGCGAAGAAGTAGAGGAAGACGCAGGCGATTGATTTAGACTGGGTTGTGTTGATAAGTTGGCCAACATTAGGCGACGCTCTCTAAGTTCGTCTCGTAATGCCATCAAGTCCTTTTCGCTTAATCTCTTGCGGTAATTACTAAACGGATCATCAATATCCTCTTTGCTAATATCTGCATCATGATCTTCGTTGCGTTCGCTATCCCTTTTCTCTAATTTACGGATTAGCTGCGCGGTTAATTGTTCAGCAAATTCAGCACAATCTTGTGGCTGCGCGACAGTCTTTTTCGTATCATTGTCATATTTTTTCGGCAAAATGTCGCTCTGAACATCATCGTTAAGTATAATGTTATGGGAAGTAACAGGATCAATTTTTAAATTTCCGTTACGATAGTGCAACTGATTTATTTTGATGTTACCATTTAGCTCTTGATTGTTTTCTATACCTGTAGATTCATCTGATCGTTGATCTGGCTTATCGTCCGGCGGGCTATTGCCTTTGGTTTGGTCTAAGCTGGCAGCGGCACTTAAAGTATTTGATTTTGGAGCACTTATGACGCTATCCACAGAATCGGGAGATGAGGGCTCACTTGAATCACTGTCGAGATCATCGATCGCCGGATTGTAGATCTCGAGAGATAATAGTTTTGGTATGTTGGGTATAGCCGCGCCCGCTGACGCTGACGAACGCCTTACTATGGGAAATGCCTGTTTAGTCAATTGCAGGGCTGGTTGTTTACCATATTTGGGTATGACCGGCAAGTCCTTAATAGTTTCTTTAGTGATTTTACTAGCAACTGGTCTTACCATTATTTGTTTTTGCTCTGCTCCACTGTTTTGCAAGTTTTTAAACTTTTCTCGTTCAACGGAATTCTGCTTTTTGATGTGAGCTTCGTCGAAATTGAAGCGTGACGTACTGATTGGTTGAGTAGTTGGTAAACTTGGGTTTTCTATAGTTTTCTTTGGCGGAGGCGTTAGTATTGCCATAGCTGCTGTTACAGCAGTCACAGAATGCGGCGGAGAAGTTACAGTAATCTGAGCAGCCGCCGGGGAATGAGCTGGTGTTGGTGGGCAAGGCAGAATTAAGGGTGAAGTTGGTACTGACGGTACATTTTCCGTTTTGTTACACTGGTTAGGACCAATAGAGTTGCCGCACTTATTTTGACAAAGATTCTGATGAACACAGCATCCTCCTCCGTTACTCGAAGACGAATTACTTGAACTGGAATTAGAATTTTGATGTTGCTTCTGATAATTAAGTTGCTGTTGGTGTTGCTCTGGCTTGGGTATGTAGATAACTGAAGCGAAGCTATCCTCCGATTCTATACTAGTATCCGATTGCAAACTATTATCTTTGGAGGAGTCCGATCCCGATTCGCGAGAGTGACGTCTTGCTTTTTCCTCACTCTCGCTTGCATTGCACTGGCTGCAACCTTGATGATAAGCTGTACAATAACAGCCTGCGCTGGCACACTCTACATTCTTGCAAATGGTTACAGGGCCTGCAAAATTTTTTACCGACGCATTGTTAACGAAATTATTCGGTTTTTGTAGTAAATGGTGTAGATGGTTTTGAAAGTTGCTGACAAAGGGAAAATATTGTTGCTGCTGCTGCTGTTGTTGTTGTTGTTGTTCTTGGGAAGCTTGGTAATGATAATGGTGATGATGGTGCTCGTGAGTGCAAATTTGGGCGGCCACTTGTTGCTGATGCTTCTCGCTTTCCTGTTTTTTTATGGTATCTACACCATTTGAAGCCATTTCGTCGCTTGAGGAAGTTTTTAAATTCTGCATAATTTTGATGAAATTGGTTTTGGTGACACGTTCCAGACTACCCGTCGAGTTTTTGATTTTGTTCGTAAAACCTTCACGTATTACCTGTAGCCTTTTAGAGAACATAGCCGAACGACACAAAAATGCTTCGTTTAGTGAACGTTGCTTTTGTATCCGCTTACGCACACGTTCTTTTTCACGTATCCGATTACCAGCCATGAGCTCTTCGTTCAGCGAACTTTGCTTACGCACTTGCCGTGTGAACAATGCTGAATTCTGAATGTGATTAGGAGTTTGCAGTTGCTCTTGTTGAATGTCGATAGTATTGTTTTTGCTCTGAAGACTGTTAGTTACGCTATTCTGCTTGCTGTTGTAATTGCTTAACATGTGAAATGGAACGTCTGGCAGTTGAAAGTCCTCATCACAAAGAGATTGTTTCTGTTTAATGAGTTTGGGACGGCGATTCGTTACTAAGGTGGTTGAAGTTGTTATAGATGTTGTATTAATTGCGGTCGTTTGCTGAACGGGTGAATCGATTACATAATCTCTGGGAAATGTTCCATTAGAATGGATACTTGAAGTTGATAGTTTAAGGCTATTATTGTTATTAGTAGTAGCAGCATGGGAGATGGCCGAATTATTTTTTTCGAGCGGTGCAACGGGACCTCCAAGACTTGGTACGCTTGAACGAGAGCGGACGATTTGACGTGGTGGCGGATTTAAAATGCTGCCAAGGCTACGTGATTTCAAACCTGCTGACAGCGGCGGATCGGCAAGGTCCTCGAAGTCCTCCAAACGTCTTAATTCAATGGGCAAATCCTTGGCATCCTCATAATCTAAACTGCCCTCCCTTTGAGTATCTTTCGAGGTCCACGAATCTAAGAACCAAGCATGCTTACGACCGCCAGCTAATTTCTGAAAAAGTCGCTTATAATCATTGAATGATTTTAATGGATATTTGCATATGCTTACTTGTATGGCTCTGCGAACGAAGCTATAACACGATTCGCCTGGTGACGAGGAAGACAAACTAGAACTATCGCCATCACCAGCTGAACGACTTGAATTGGAATCTTCAGTGTAGGCATGATAGGGAGCCAGAAAGTCATCGTCTTCCTCGTCATCGGAGCAATTCAAATTTCTATTTTTTGGCGGTTGCCAGGGTATGAGAACATCTTGTGATTCGAAGCGCCTATGCTTTTGTTCCAAAGCCCAGACAGTTATAACAACGCGGCCACCTACACGCAAAATTCGAGCCAATTCCCGCAACGCATTTACGCGCCGCTCCGTGGTGGCGAAATGATGAATCACAGCTAGTGACAATACAGCATCAAAAGATTCATCCCGAAATGGTAATTCGAGGTTATCGCAAAGTGCAACCTGAAGAATAAAAAGTACAAAGGATATAGTGAGCATGCCAAAATTTATATAATTTTGATAAGAAATCTCTTTCTCTCGTATCTTGCCTTTTAATAAATAGTTGACCATGATTTTCTTAAATCAATTATTGCGATGACTAGATTATATTTCAAGATCGGTAGCCGTTCAATTAGCTTGTTTAGAAATTTCACGGCATGACAGTAAATTAATTATCTCTACTATAACATCTATATGATTTATTGCTCAATAAGTTGATAGGATTACATACACATGTAGGATGACTATTGACGAATTCATACGATTTTTAAACTCTTCAGAACAACTGTAACTTGTAAACTTGTAAACTAATGATCGGAAGGTAAAGAAATTTTGATATATTTCTTTTGAATGATTGTACGATCATATAAAAATCATACGGATTTCTCAATAGCAATGACTTAAGTGTGTTTCGATATACTCTTCTTAGCTTGCTTCCAATTTCCTTAAACTGATTTTTCAAAGTTCCATAAGTTTTCTTGGTTTTTTGGATTTCGCTAATTTAGGTTTTTTTCTATAGATTTTTGCCTCCAATTTAACCCATTAAGTTGCGGGATCTGACAAAGCTTAACAAATATGTGCCTAAACAGGAACGATTCGTATAAGTTGAAGATTGAAAGATCTCAAGGGTTTCCATGGTAGGTTTTGGAAAATGTTTCTATTTCTTAATTACAGCAGGGCAGAGTTAATTTTGTTTTCATCTACAAACACGAATTTGAGTCAAACGTCCAAGTAGAAGATCGCAAGTGGCAGATATTAATTTTGCTTTGAAAAAAAATATCTGGCTTTCTTTCAACCTCGTTAGCGAACGCAGATGCGGCTAATATTTAATGGACTTCTTTGCATTTTGGTAAAGAGTTTGAAGAAAGTTAACGCATTCTACAATTTCGGGCTTTTATAACCTATATTAATTGACATGCCACAAGCTGTGCAGACATGTGCAATGTTCTGAAGGATTTGAGATAGACTTAGACTGAGCTTCTGTCTGTTTCCTTTTCTTTTTTTGTGTTCAACCTACAAGCCACCATTTATGGAGATATTTTGATGAAATTTTGTGCAAGGACTAAGGCTATTAAAAATGGTTCGAATCAGTCGCCTTTTTCGACCACTTCCTGTATAAGTTATATGGAAGAAAATTGTTATTTTCAGCATGTTTCGACAAAACTGGTCGATCAATAGTAATTTGACGTCCTAAATTGGCATGAAAAATTTGCTTCGACTGAGGCAATTTTTTCAACCCCCTCTTATATAACCCTTCCTACGAAAACTGAAGCTTTATATGGTATAGAGTTATAATTTTCAATATTTCATGATGAAAATTCATTCATAAAAGGAAATTGACAAACAAATCAGCCTTATCGGCTGGACGTTAATACGTTATTTCATATAAAAATTAAGTGAAAATTTGAACTATAAGGCTCCACTTCTTCGACCTCACACCAGAAGCTTTCTTTTTCAACACCTTATGATGAAAATTAGTCCTTAGTATCCGTCTGAGTGGGCAACTAGGCAAAGGTTCTCGACTAACAACTCACGGAGTTTATCTCATTGCCTAACTTAATATGATGATATTTATAATAATAATAATAATAATAATAATTATAGTTGTACCTAGTAGCCAATTTGGGAAAAAAATGAAGAATAGGGAGTTGCAGGTGTCATGAAAAGCTAGTCATTATATGGAGAGAAAGCCTGATTTCTACATTTTTATGGTGGAAACTGAAAAATAATAAAGTTTTTAGAAATTAAATTAAGTTTGCTAAATTTGGATTACGGCATGGGATGTTTTGGGAATTCTTCAATATGCGGTCTTTGCATGAAGGTAATTTATTGTCACCAAAACAAGTGAACAATTGGTGTAGAGTATCCATTGCCCGGATATAATGTTCTTAATTGTTTTATTACTTGCACATATCCATTTAATTATAGAGACAAGTTTCCTTACGATAACTTTTGAATCAAGAAGCAATCAAATGCCCGGCAAATACTGGCTTCTTCTTGTATAGATAAATACTTGGCTGTGTATTTATTCATTTGTTTAATTTTTACTTACTTACTTAAATGTAAAAGTACTAATGTGCATCTTCAGCTTATTATAATGTAGTTGCATTGAGTAAAAGAGAGCCATAGTGCAGCCACTTGGGCGTAAGTTTGGTAAATGGTATCAAGCTTTTAAGAATTTTTAGAATTTTCTTGTTTGCTTTGCCGCATACATGTGCATTCGCTTTCTACTTTCTATTCCATATACATTTAATCTCATATAAAACTGGGTCAAAGTGTTGTTGTTCTTTATATAAAAATAAAAGTAAAAAAAAAAGCAAAGAAAAGAAATTAATTATTTATTTAAAAAAAAAAGCATTTTTAGGACAAAACAAAGAAATAAAGGATCGCCTAAAGCGAAATTTACAAAACACTATGCTATGCAAATTATTTGATTTCCAGTACACAATAAATCGCTAGCTATTGGATGTTGGATATTAAAGCTTTTTTGCATTTCATTTCATTTTTAAGGTAGTTAGTTACCTTTGCTTTCCCGTCTATGCAGAAATACATGAAAACGTCTTACTTTACTACTTTCGCAACATCCGACACTCCTAAAGATGGGAACCATAATATAAAAAGTTTGCTTAGTTAATTTTATAATAATTCCACTTTCATCGAGCCGGGTAAGTAGGAATCGTAGCTCTAGGGGAGTACGCTTAGTCAATGAAAGCATGACAGTTACCGTTTTTACATACACCTCTCCGTCTCTTCATCTTTCTTTCTTTATTTTTTTTTTCATCGGCACCGTATTACAAGAGTAGTGAATAACCCTGAGTGATTGGTCATATTAAAAAAAAAAAAAAAAGTTCCTTTTTATTGTCAGTACATAGTTTTAAATAATTCAAAGAATAAATCTGTACGGGATCTATTTGATAATTGCTTTTAATTGTTCGCGGATGGCAACTCTATCTCATTATCTTATGTAAATTAGACAATGATCTCATATCTACGCAAGCTACAGCGATCCCAATGTATCGCTTTCAAAGATGCCATGACTTAAGCGTAATAAATCCGTTGTTGTCTTTAAAAATGTGTTATGAACGCTTTCCAGTCTCATCGGTTAGCAACAACTTTCAAGCGATCCTAATGACTTGTACACGTCTTTGCAGCGAATACAGGTCGCTGATAAATTGCTTCGCTTATAACAAGCTTCATTGTATATCACAGCGTTGATGGCAACTTGTTGTTTACGTCCATCGCATAAGATTTTTTTATTCTCTATTTTATTGTTCATAACATATTCGTACAATTTCTCTGGGCACTTTTCCTGTGCCTTTAACAATACGTTAATGTCCAAAAAAATGTAGAAAGGGTGAGGGAGAGATAAAGGTAAAGACTGAGAGCAGCCTGGGAGATCTCTGGTTCATTGATACTCATTATGTCTTTAAAGATAGTCTACAGTGGTGGGAATTGAATTCGCTGATGCGGAATTCATAGTCGCCTACGCGTTAGCCCCGAAACAATTAATTTCGCTACGTGTGAACACACGCTGAGGAAAGCGAGGAGAAGCAAGATGGTTAAAAAAAGGTAGTTAACAACGAGTCATAAAGAGACTTTACTAAGGACCATAGAGATTGTTCCTAATTTGCGCAACAGTTTTTGTAAGTGTGCGCAAGCTCATGAATCAACAAAGCGAATCTTTGGGTATCAATCCATAAATCTCAAACTTGCAAGACTTGAAATAGGAAAATGAAAGATGGCAGATATAGTTTTCATATATCACGTTCGCAAGAAGAGTGTAACGAACTCGAAAAGAAAATCGGTTCGAAGCTATCTGACAATGCGGAATATATCCATTCGTTACATGACGTTTTTGCTAGAAATAGATGCAGAACAGCAGAGCAATTACATAACAGAAATTGGAACATGTATAAATGTATGTGAAATGTGTGAAAACTCGTAAGTGCCCCCAAGAAATCCAAAGATTGCATTACTGCATTGATATCATGTACTTCTCGTGAAATCTTCTTACGAGTAGCTGATGCGTATCAAAGATCCGGCATAAGTCGAAGGCAGTTTCTCAATTTTATTTATATTCTCTTCAAAATATATCCCAAGGCAGTGCACATATACATATATATATATATATATATATAAATATATATATTCCGAGCAGTACCTTTTGACCTAATTCTCGTTGTTGTTGATTCTTTGATGATTGCTTTAAAACTTATTTATCATGCTAGAAAAAATTGAAAGTTAATGGCTTTTGCTGTTTTTTTTCTTTTTTTTTTTTGATAAATTTAGTTTCTCATATACATATATGCACACACACACATATACATTTATATGCAGCTGTAAATTATTGAAATTTACAAGAAGTTCCTTGACATAGATTTAAAAAATAAATAAATAAATATTTTTTTTGGTATAGATTTCGAAATTTTCCAAAAGTTATTTACCTCACCGCCCTTCTCTTTGGCCACGCGACTTAGGCGATAGCAGCGGTCTACGCCAATAGTGCATATTGAAGGATTACGTTGAGTTAAATAGCGACCACTACCGCAACCGACGTCGCACACCACGGCGCCTATCTCAAGATTGCTGAGGAACTGTGCAACACGGGGTCTTAACGAACCCGTCGGTTCTTCACAATTCTCATAGACATCGTGCACGTAGGCACGCTCCAAAGCAGCTGAACGACCATTGGCATCGTTGGACGACGACGATGATGACGATGTAAGAGTCACTGTTGTTGTTGTCGTTGTTGTTATTGTATTTGTTGTAACCTGCGGCTTATTAACACAACTGCTGTTAACAGTCTTTGCCAGTATTATTGGTGTCACAGAGTTTTGTTGAGCCAGTTTAGCGGCGGCGACGTTGTTTACGATTGTCGTTGAAACCGAAGTCGGTGATATGATAGTTGGAGAGTAATTGGTGCTTGCAAATGCATTTATGCGCGTATTTGATTGTGTTGTAGCATTACAAGCATCATTTTTGCTGGCTGCACTTGATGACGATGACGATGACGATGATGATGACGATGATGATGTTGCTGATGATGGGATTACAGCTGGCGGTGCATTGTTAATTGATAATTGCTTTGTCATTGTTGTTCGCTTTGTGTTATACAAATTTGTATAACAGCTTGCAGCTGTTGTTACTGTTAAAATTGAAGGAGTGGATATTGTTGCAGTAATATTGTAATGGTGCGATATTTGTTGGTCAACATTCGACTTTTTCATCTGAAAATATAATAAAATTTATTACACATATAAAGTCCTAATAATAAGAAATAATGGAAATTTAAGAAAAATTAAAACGACAAAAGCTTTCATTTTAATCACTCTGTCAATATCCGCTAAAGTTCTTCAACTATATTTTGCATACACAGTGAACAGTTTAAAAAGTCAATAGTATTTTTTTCTCTCTTAGCTTGATACTTGCCACGGTAGAGTTGGGCTCTGCTAAATCTCTCAATTTCATCTTCAAGAATCACTCCTTTGATGTGCTCTACATGTGTAACACGCTGTCAGGGAGAAAGAAAAAGGACTAAGGGAGTAGCTGGGAGGTGGAGGTGAATATTCGCTACAGTTGCGACCGTATATCAACCCTAATTGAGATAAGGTGCACCGTCTGCTCCAAAATATTAGTCAGCTTCTTAACTACTTGGCTACTTGATTATTTACCCTGTTCTTGTTGTTGGAAAGTGTGATTTTTTAAATCTTGAAAATTATTTAATTTCCTCACTAAAGTCAATGCAATTGCGTTCCACCCTGTCATTGCATTATGCGGCTAATTTGTGTCCCTCAAAGTGGACATTTGTATGATTCCGTCGTTATGGCAAAACATATTAATCATAGGCATTTTCTGTTCATTCAATCCGCGCTTCGACACGTCGTCGCTATTCGGCAACTGAATTTCGAAATTATTATAGCTCGACACTGAGCGTATTGTTCAATAAATCATTGATATATTTATTCAAAAACGATCGATCATCATAAATTCTTCATCTTCTTCTCCCTTTGCTCGTTGGACAACTTCTTGAGCAAATCATTTACCAACTCTTACATAAACACATAAATAAATCAAACAGAGCTGTTTGAAAAGATCTTTAGTTAGTTTCAATTTTTTCCGCACCATAAGCCTTTCTCACTTAATCTACGTGTATGTGAATGATGCGGAAAGAAATCAGTGAAAAAAAGGTCGACATTCGTAGAGTGTATAAGCATTTGATCAGAGACAGGGGAATTCAAAAGATTTCAACTGCCCGCAATGTCGCGAATTGCCATTCGATTGTTTGCTTTAATTATTTTGTTTTTATCACTTTAGCTTTCCAGAATGCAATGCAAAAGCGACGAAGTGAAATTTTGCAAATTACCTTTGGCACCGAAGTCCTGTCCGTTCGAAATGCATTCATACGTATCCAAGAATTTTTGTTTTTTTTTTCGGTTTAACATCAATTCAATAGAAACTAAACGGGCTTTTAACTTTCCATACTTGATAAGCCATGTAGCGAAAATTTGTTCACAGAGTCGTACAAGCACCACGATATCGGCTATTGAATGTATAAAGGTAGTGCGGCTTAAATGTGAATTTAGCTGTGAAAAAATGCAATTAAATTCATTGTTGGGAAGAAAAGGAAATGACTTTCCAGCCAACCTAATATGTAATGTATTTCATAATTTTCATCTCATATCACTAAAGGAAAAGCTGTGTATTATGGCAGCATTGTTTACGCATTAAATGAGTAACTAGCCAAGCAGAATGATTCAAATAAGTGTGTGTGTGTGTGTTCCACACTATCAGCGACTGCTGAGTCCAACAATCAATCCAGAGGAAAATTACTGTTTCTCCGTTAAGAGAGTTCGATTAACGTTTTAGGGGTAGGAAGGAAGGAAGGGGGAAGGCCGGCTAATCCAAACCAAGCTTCTATTCCTTCTACGGAATTGAAATCTTTGCACACTCGACTGTGCTGACTTTGACTTTCTCTGGTGTTTTGCAAACAAAATTTTTTGATATTTCAATGATTTCGATGATTTGGTTAGTGCTCTCTATTTAGTATTTGATATGCGCAAAGGAAGCGAACTTATCGCGAACCTTGTTTATCGCAAAAATGGTTTGATTTCCTTGAATTTCCTATACATTACGTGCTTTATGCAGCTCTGCCTTTTTTTGCTCAAACATTACATTTACTCTCGAGCAATTGCTTTCAATTACATACAAGAGCATCTACACATACACTGCAAGCCAAGTCAAGCGTAAATATATTTTTTGGCGAATGCCAAAGCAGTGCCCATGAGACCATTTTTCTTTTTTGTATTTTTAATATAATGTCACCGTTATCTTTGCTCGCAATGTCTTTAAATCGTGACATACGCAGAGGTGAAAAAAATTCAATTATAAATGAAATGCCATTAAATGATTACACGCCAGACCTAACATATACAATACAACCGAAGATGCTTCGCAACGAATCATTTCAGTCAGTAATAAAGAAAACTCTCATCTTATGGCTTTTATGTTAGTTAGCAAACCATGCAGGAAGTCAATTATTTGCATCTGTATATCTCTGGGTGTATGTATATACAATTGTAGTGAAAGTGAGAACTAAAAAAAAGAAAAAGAAAAAGAGAAACTGAAGGGGAGAAATAGGAAAAGGAGAGAACAGAAGGCAACACGGACTTAACAATGTAACGAAGTGCAGGCAATTATACACACTTACATTTATTTATGCTTGCACATAAAGATTGCCATTCGGTTGACTGCAGACAATCTGAGCTCGTTCACTCTTACAAAATGTGCCTGTGCACTGCATGCAATTCATCAAACAATAGGTAGCCTAACAAATATTATGCCTTGAAATATCTCTCATCCGCTAACTCGAGATGTAAGTCTTCACACGCCATCTCATCATCATTCAAATTGAATGCAGAGTTGTAATCTATTTAGAAAATCGCTAACGAAAATAGATATGCAGAACAATCTTTAATGACGATCTTAACGATCTTCTATAGCTCTGTTGAAGTGATCCGACAGCCTTGTCAAGAATTCTTATCTGTTTCACTTACTTTTCATCGACTTCACGCAAGTTCACTGATTTATTCTCTCCATTCAAATTTTGAATGTGTTACTAACAGTTGCTTTGCCGACCCAAGTCACACCTAGGTCGAGATGAATGCCCCTAAATGTAGCCTTTCGCAGAATGCTATGCTGTGTTTTCTGTAACTTCGCGCGTAAGTTGTATATATATTATATTTGTGTGTGTGTGTGTGTGTTTGTGTGTGTGTGTGTGTGTGTGGGTGTGTGCCTGGGTGTTTACAGATTGATGTGAGTTTTGCGTTTGCAAAGTTACAAGCTATAAATAACATGGACTAGTTTGTCAATGTGTGGTCGAGTCTTGTCATGTTTAAAGGTGGTCTTATTATTTATTTTGGTACTATTGGGCTCAATTGCATTGGTTGTTGTTGGTGGCGGCGACGATTTCGTTTGTGGTATATGCTTAAGGCAGCATATACCACAAAAAATATTGTGGATATGTCATATAAGGGACCACAGGATTGACGTCGTGGAATGTTCGGTTTCGACGTCGTTGCAAATTCTTGACCTCTTCTAAGCCAAGATTTTCGATCCTCGTATCTTCATACGTTATGACCATACCCTCGCGAATGTTCTCTCTTGACCGTATAGAAGCTTTGTAGAGAGAAAGGGTTAGATAAAGGGAATAATACCTGTGAACGTTTGACTTGAAAGTACAAAGATTAGGAACGATTGGAAAGATTATCACTGGTAGGTTATTCCGAAACCGGGCAATACGATTAAAGAACAACGAGTTGTGGTAGTTTGCCGTAAACGTATGCATGTAACTCCAGGAAGCCGTCTATTCCTGTTAATTAACTTAACTGGTGGGAAAGTCTCCTTTTTCTCCAAGCAAAGTTCAGAGACTCCTGCCAACCGCCAACACACGCGATTTATGCTTTGATTTGGGCCAAACATAAATGGCGTAAGTGGCACGATTATCGACTGCAATGAAACCTAGGCGCTTCACTTTGTCTTTTGATATATCCAATATATGCTCGGACCTATCAACATCAATTTGCATTCTGATGCGCCGAATATCAAGGGATGCCGATTCTTCTACAGTGGAGAGGGTTAAGAGACAGGATAGACATTTTCTTTTTTGCATTACAGTTTAACCTATTGGACCGACTCTGCTTTGCTATTTTTACGAGGTCTCGACTTTGCGTGCAAGTCATTATGCAGTCTTCGTTGTGTATTTCGGTCTTTTGGTGAAAGAGATTGGAGGGACTACCGCCCACGAATGAATGAATGAATGAATGAATGAGAAAGACCATAACTAGTTGGCTAATTTTTTTAAATTTTAATAATAATTTTCGAGCTCGTAGATCATCACAACTAACGTCATTGCTAAATATCATTCTCGTAGTGAAAAATTCATGAAAGTTTTTATTATGAATTACTTCAATGTATCCTGCACATGCAGCATGGCGTAGTAGTGCCATAGTTACTTTTCTATTAGCATTTCAAGTTTTTGTGGGCATACGCGCTGGTGCATGCATTTGAATTTAATGTATAATTAGCGGAGCGAAAGCATGAATTTGTTTTGACTTTGCCGTGCCGCGTGTTTTGTGCGTGCCCCTGCGAGCCATGTCTCATGCTCATGTGCTGCTAATTACTTTAATTGCAGTACACGTAAAGTGACGGTAGCGATAATTAATTTATGTACTTTTTATTGTCCCTTTGTGTTTTTCTTGCCGTCACTTCAATGGTCTGATATAAAGGATACTTGATTTCATTATCAAAGCATATCAAAGAGTGCATAATAATGATCGCTTTGCAACAATTGGGATGCAACCGTTTATGCACCCTTCTGCCTTTTGTTCAGCGAAACCGTAAATGTAAATTCAGTTTTAATTAAAATACTCTCCGGTATCTCGTCGCCTCTTGCCATTTGGATTAAATTTCACGTGATAATTACATATTTTTTAAGCGCAGCTAGTGAATCATTTGTAGTCGTAAGAAAGAAGCTCCAAAGCTCGCGTAAATTCGCGGCAGGCAAAGCGTAAAATAAAAAAGAAAAATTATTTCTCTATACATCCCTTACCGTGAACAGCGCTTTTGATTGTTGTTGATGGGAAAGATTTTCTTTAAATTGCAAATGCTTTGCTTATAGGGTAAAAGAACAAACTCTTAAGGGTAGACTTGTTGTGATTGACTACAGTTT